TGTTACAGTTAATAGTCTGCACACACAACTCAAGCGAATCAAGCTGGTCCTGGGAGAGCTGGACTGGGCCTTCGGAGTCCTCCAGAGCGATACTACACACCAGCGGGTCTTTGGGGCCACGGATGTAATCAACGGGACAGTCAGCGCCGAGACCCGTCGAAACAGGGTAAACATCACTCGCCCTAGCAAAACCTCGAAACATGGCCGGGACGAAGGGAAGACTCGGCACGGCTTGCTCGAGACCACCGCTGCCAGCTCTGAGAATACGCTTGGCTCTCCAGAGCGTGTGTTTCAAAACAGCCCTGAACGTAGCCTTGCCGCGCATAAAGACCGAGGGAAACGCGCGATGCGGGGGGGCCCAACGAAAGGCCCGGCAGGCTCGCTGATTCCAAAAACTCCCATCGTGCTCACCCAGAGGCCCCTCACCTTCACGCAGAGCGGCCGTGCACTGTTGAGCTCCCGAGAGCCCGCCAAGTGCGACATCGGAGTCACTATAAGTAAAACCCCCCTGACGAGATGTGATGTCCCCAGGGGCCTCGCACTCACTGCACGAGGCCCCGAAAAAAGAGATGTCAGGCCTGTGCAGAGAGAGCTGCGCGAACGCAAGGCCAGGCCTCACTGTCGCGCTGCGCGCCTGCCCAGCCTCCCCGAACGCGTCGTCCTGCACCAGGTGCGCATCAACATCGACGTAGTTCTGCGTACGATCTCCCCCCTGCTCAAGCACTGGCAGCCGAAGCAGGGGGAGCTGATTGTTCAGAAATGATGAGAGCTGCACGTCGGCGAACGTCTTCAGCAGCGGCAGCCTCGTCAGATTCGCAGGAGGAGACACAGGCGCCGCGCTGGAGGAGACACAGGCGCCGCGCTAGGAGCTGCCGCTGCCGCGCCGCTGCCACCAGCAGCCCCGCCATCGCGAACGCCGCTGCCACCCTCGGCCTGACTCTCAGGCGCAGGAGGATCCGCCACCTTCCGCTTCTTGGCCAGCCTCTCCACGTGCTTCTGGTGTTCCTCCCGCACTCGATTGGCCGTCTCCACGGCTGATGCAAGCAAGCTTTGAGCAAGAGACTGAATGCCGTCCTTGAGTTCATTCGAACGGCGGTCCAGCTGCGCTTGGTCCTCAGGAGACATCTCGTACTCATCAGTGGAGCCGAAGATTCCCGAAGGATCAATAGTGAGCTGCTTCGCAAAGGAGCCGTCGAGGATGGACCCGAGAGTGCAACGCAGAGCAGGCTCCACATCCGCCGCCACCTTGCACGTGGACTGGTGGAGCTGTGCCACGAGGTTGGCATGGGCCCGCTCGCACTCCTCGGCCTCCAGCGCCAGCTGCGACACCACCGCTTTCTGCTGGGCCATCTGGGCGCTCCATTCTTCATACCGAGAGACGGCACCGTGAAGACGCTTCTGCACACTGCGCATCTTGGAGTGCGCCATGCTGACCTGGTGCTGCAAGGTCGGCTCTTTGGTCGGCGGCGGCGGTGCGGCCAAAGCCTTGTGGCGGGCCGCGCCCAACAAGTCGCCTTTCTTGCCGAGCAAGACCGCGAGCTGCTCATGTTCATCACGCGAAAGCTCGCCCGAGCCCTCACCAGCGTGCCTGAGAGCAGCGCCAGGTCCCTGCCCAGCGGCCGAGCCGAACTGGCCAGGCGGCGCCAACAACCCCGCAGCCGCGAACGGCGAGTAGATGGCTGCAGACGGAGAACTCCAGGCTCCAGAGGGCGGTGCACATCCCCCACCTGCCGAAAAAAGGAGTCCAACTCGTGCCACAGTGCTTGCAAATGTTGCACCTCGCGTCGTTCTTCTTGCAGCCGCATGCAGAGCAGGTCCATACGACCCACTTCTGAGGATGCTTGGGCCCGAGAGCGGCCAGCATCGAATGTTGAGGTCCTGGAACGAGAGGATGCCAAGGACAAGCATGCCCATGGTCACCATCAGCACCACCAAACCCCGAAGGCGAGCACCTGCGCCTGGCGGCCCCTTGCCGCCCTTGACGCCGAGCTTGCCCTTGCCACCTTTGCAACCACCCTTCCCCGCTGGGGACGGGACCATGGCTCACGCACGTTGGCCGTAGCCGAAAACTCGCTGGCACTATGTGCCGTTTTGAAGTAGATACCAGCAACGCCTGAGCGCAAAACGGCTGGTGGTGATGGTGGTGAAGATGATGAAGACGACGACGCTGATTTGTTGATGGTGATGAGGATGATGACGTGGTCATCAGCATGATGATGAGCACGGAGAGAGACAACGATGATGGTAATGATGCCGATGATGACGATGACGACGGCGATGACGATGACGATCGTGACGATGAGGATGACGAGGATGATGCTGAAGCTGTTGATGCTGCTGATGACTTTCGTCGTGAGCGCTGGGGCTGGGCCTGGGCCTCGACGGGCCGGAGGCTGCGCAGCAGCACCTTCGGTCCGCCGCCGCCGCTGCAGCGGCCCGCGGCTGCCGCCCGCAAGCCCTACCCGCGGGGCTCTCCGGCCATCGACGGCTTCTCGGGGCACTGTGGGGGCCAAACGGGGTCGCGGGCGAGACGCCTCTTTGGAAGGCCTCCTGGGGTCCCTCGGGATGTACCTCGCGGGGCCTCCTGGCAGCACTTTTGAAACCTTCTGGTGTCCCTTGGGGGGGGGGGCCCGTGGGGCATCCTTTTGGGCTCCTGGGGGGCCTCTCGAGGGCTCCTTGGGGGGCCTGCTGGCGGCCTCCGGGGCCAACTTTCAGGACAGACTCGACATGTCTGCTCGGGTTGCCCCTCTTGGGGCCCCTCTTGGGAGCCCTCTGGGGAGCCCTCTGGGGAGGCCTCTCGGGCCGTCTTGGGGCCGCCCTGGGAGCCAGCCTCTTGGGCTGACTTGGGACGATCTCGGGGGCCTCTTGGGCCGTCCTGGGCGGTCGGAGGCTTGAAAAAGCTGCAACGCCAAACTCTAGCAAAAACCCTAGTCAATTCCACGATTTTGTCCTCCAGGGGCCCTCTTGGAGTCGTCTTGGAGCCCTCCTGGGGTCGTCTTGGAGCTCTCCTGGGGCGGGTCTTTTTGTTCCCGATGCCATGCGATTCCGGGGCTCCACTCAAGGCCTCCGACGCCGTGAGATTTACTCACCGTTGCGCGGCCAGGTCTATTGGTATCAGGTACGTCCAATCGACGCGCCCGCTGCGCCGCGCGTGAACACATGTCACACAAGCTCTGATACGTGACACTTAAAACATTGCGATACCAAGGGGATCGAGCATGCACACGGAAACCAGAGAAGACTCAATGGATCTAAAGCCACAGAGGTGCGCGCCTGAATTGCCTGGCTCTTCCTCCTCCGCCCCCGCCCCCGCGACTCCCACCATAACCTATGACCAATCACTGCCGCCTCTAACGAGTTGCGTTGTCACATTGCCGCTTGCAACGCACTCGGCCGGAGACCCCGTAAATCTGAATTTGGCGCGTGAGCTCCTCCGCTCAAGTCGTAAGCTGAAGCGAATTAACTACGAGAAGAAGGCTCTCGCTCTCTCTCCTCCATCTCTGCCTGCCCCCGCCGAAGCCTCTAACCAATCCCCGCCGCCTCTCGCGACCTGTATCGACGTAGCGAGGCCTGCGAGGCGCCCAAGCGGCAACCCCGCAAGCTTCTTGATGTAGACACAGGGCACACGGGAGCCCATCCGCCCTGCAGGTTCGGCAAATAAGCCCAAGGCTGCTGAACGGATAGATGCCGGCGGTCGCGCCGGCCAACTCGACGCGTGCTCATCAGCCCAACGTTGCCTCTGCAAACCGGCCAGTCGGGAACTTCGCAAGGACGCCCAGGCGTATGCCACCTATCAGATTCGCGGCTTAATCTGCATGGAACCTCCGTTGGGGCAGACGCACATCATGTCCTTATCTTGCATTCGCATCTTACCGTGGCGGTTGAAGGAAGCTGGCGGCCGCTTCGTTGTCGTTTTTTCGACCCATCCGGTGCGGGATTTCTCGTGCGCCACTCATTTGTCTTCTGCCAGCGAATCTTCCAGCGTGGTGTTGAGTGCAGACCGTTGTTCGTGTCCAATCCATCCCTGAGTCGCTGGCACTCTGGCGTGGCATCCTCTAAAAACTCGGCATGCGCATCGAACCCGATAAGTCCGCCAATGTCTGCACGACCGGGTGCGCTGAAACTCCGCACAGCCAAATCCAGGCGCGCCTGCATGGGGGGATCTTGGCGGACGACGATCATTGCGGATTCGTCGCTCAACTTGTTTTGCATCATGACCTGAATCTGCCCGGCTACGGTCGGCGATCCTTCCTTCATGCTCGTTTTTTTTGGTGCGCCACTGTGACTTGGACATTGTCACCCTGACGCCTTCCTTTGTCTGCTGCGAAGATAGAAGGATGTGTGCATCGGCCCAGTCCGCGAGCCTCGTCCACGGAGTATCTTCTGGCGCGCCTGGCTCTAGCACCTGGGGCCCCAAGAACTCGTCGCTTCTATTCGCGCTGTGTGACCTGAGGTAGGAGCGCACCTGCGCGACCGCCTCACCGATCCACGCGCCCGATAGCTCAACTGCGGTGATGTACGCGGTGCATGGCTGCCCGTGCTCGGGGTGGATCGTTGCCTGAAACTGCACCTCGGCGGTCCTGTCGATGGCCTGCGGGGCCCGGGGCAATGTGAACTCGCCGCCGTGGTTAACGTCGAAGTGCTCGCCTTGAAGGTTGACCAAGCGCAGACCGCCCTTGGCCGACACCGTCGGGGCTGGGGCGGGCAGAAGGGAGGCAGGGGGGCCCATGCAACATCCGCCGCTCCCGTAGCTGATGCCCGCGTAGGAATCGAGGACCGTGTTGTTCCCACTGCGCTGCTCGTCGCACCGGTGCCCGAAATCGCAGAATTCGACGCCGCATCCGCATGGGTACTGTCCGCTAAGCGAGATGCAATTGACATTTGTAAAGCAGAGGCGATCGCGTCGAAAGTGTTGAAGGGCGCGCTCACTCCGTGGCCCACTACGAGAAAAAGCACTCGTACGGAGCAGGGGCTCATGGTGTGACGACGACCTCTGGGCATCATTGAAACCAACCTTGTCGATGATACGCACTCTCTCGAAGTAGCCAGGGTCTCGCGTCGACATGGTGACCCATTCGCCCTTGCAACAATATCCCACTCTCGTGTATGTACTTGTTGACCGCGAGTGGTTCAGTGAGCCACGCCCCCGAGATGCAGTTATCGAAGTCGCCCACGTCCTCTTTGTCTGCGGGGCAGTCGCTGGATGCCTCCGAGCGGCGCCGCCGCGCGGCACCGTTCGTACGTTGCTGGTAGACGCTGGTGCCGTCCATGAAATAGTATCCGCAGCCGCATTCAGCTGGGCCCTGGATTGGGAGCCTAGACAATACACTCGAATACGGCGAGGCCCCGCGCTCTGCCTGGGTAGCGCAGCCGCCCCCGTCCGCGACGATCATCATCATCGCCTTGGTGGGGGCGCAACCCGGCGAGGAAGCCTGGCGCGACGGCGGCCTGGCAATGACAATCACGGAAAAGCAGACGGGCGGGCACCGTTGCGGGCCCCAGAAGAGGAAAAGGAAGGAGCAACATTGCGGGCCCTGCAGGATGATGGGAAAGCACCGTTGCGGGCTCCATACACAATGGAAGAAAAAGAACGGCACGGACGACTGGCGTCCGATCCGGCAGCAGCACCGAAGCCCAGGCACGGGTGCTTCCAGGCGCGGCTGATCTCGTGCGTGTCGACCACACGGTCACAAAGGAATCACTCCCACCACGCATTCTGCATTTTGAAGCCGAACCTGTGGTAGTTAGAATCAGCTGACAATCGATTGCGGCTCAGGGAGCCAGCCCAGAAATGGAGCCAGGTCCTGGCGTGGAGCCGGCCCGCATCATCGAACGCGGTGCCTTGACGAGCCTGCTTGGCAAGCTGGCCGGCTGCCCGCGACGGATTCAGGTACGTGAGCGCGCCGTCGTCCGTCAGCGTGTAGACGGTGCGGTCCCTTGTGCAAGTGCACGTTTAGCGGCAGCGAGCTGGGCGCGGCCCTCCTGGGTGGCGGAGAGCTCGAGGTCGGCCTGCTGGGACTCTCATCTTTGCTTACTTCTGCCTCCACTAGGCAACCATCACCATCTAAGTCAAGGTAAAGAAATATGCCGCAGGTTCCATCGTCGGCGATGGGGTGGGAAGATATGCTTCATAAGTGATGTTCACCGTCATGTCAGAAACTTCACAGTCGCATGCCCTCTCCAGATCGACTGCCAAGGGTGAAGACCGATGGCCTTGCAGTTGGGGTACAACAAGCACTCCGAGGCACACAATTCGAGAGACGCGACCTCTTCTGACAACTGTAAGATTTGCGTTCCGCACTGACAATGACGACCGGTTTGCACGTATCCAGGGTAGGCCGATATAAGTAGGTCATCCTCATGTATTTCTGTTGGCATTGGAGTTCCAACATGCTGCGCTGTAGGCATCGGGGATCCATTACCTATCCGGAGCTACTCTTCTGACCACCAAGAGCAAGGCTTGGGGCAAACATCGGAGAACTTGTCCACACCATGCAGGTGTTTCTGGAAGTCCTCGAAGCTGGAACTACTCGTCAGAGGGAGATACCATTTTGAGTGTTCTTTGATGCCCGTCCGCATCGCGGCCCCACATCACCTTCTCGTAACACTCGTCGCCTTCACCACTGGTGAGACACTCCTGTGGCACTGCGGGCAACTGCTCTGTCGGTCGCTCCTCTGACTGCGCCGCTGCACATGGCTTGGGGCACACGTCAGAGAGCCGATCCACGGCGCGCAGGCACTGCTGGAACTCCTCGAAGCTGGAATTTCTCGTCGGAGTGAGATACCATTTTGGGTGTTCTTTGATGCCCGTCCGCATCGCCCACATCAGCTTCTCGTGACACTCGTCGCCCTGGGTTGAGGTATGGCATCCCGACCGTATCCCACTGCCACGCAAGAGACTGGCCGTGTGCATCTGCATGAGCTGCAGGTCCACGTGCTCAGCGCAAGTAGTTACAAGCCCCACTGCGAACAGCTGCGCCAGGACTCGAAACATAGCTTGAAGCTATTCGGTTCGACAGTTATACGGAGCTGTTACGATCATAGATCAAAAATACTTGGACTAGAAAGCCTTGAGCCAAAATGGATACGGAAGGCCTCCTTGGGCGTCTTGGGCGCCTCTTGGGCCATCTTGAGATCAACTGGGACCATCTTGGAACGCTCTTGGCCGGAGGCCGTGGGGCCTGCCACCTTTTTGGCACCTCCTGTGGGCGATCCTGGGACGCTCTGGAGACCCCAGGGCCGCGCCCGAGCGGCATCTGTGACCCGAACCTGCCAGGAACCCGCAGAGTACTTTTCGTCCGGGGACCCCCAGGGGCCGCCACGTGCGCGGTTTATTGTTATCGAGGATGTCCCAGAAATCCCCTCCGAGGTGCCCCAGAGGACACCAGGGACCCCCAGGGGCCGCCACGTACGCGTGCCGGCGCCCCAGGAGTCCCCTCCAAGGTTTATTGTCATCGAGGATGCCCCCAGCAGCGGCCACTCGGGGCCATCTGAGCACGTCCCACTCGGGTTTTTACGTGCCCCAGGAGATCACACGGTTTTTCATGTGTCAAAATGGGAATGGATGTGCGGCTGCCCTGCGGCTGTCCTCTTCTCAGACTCTTCGGGTTCTCTTCGAGCCTCTTCGTGCGGCTACATGCGCGAAGCCACTCGGCGCATGCCTTTACGCATCCTCCTTCCTCTCCTCCATCCTCCTCCCTCTCATCATCTATCCTCGAACGCTACCACGGCGAGGGCCCGCAGGGGGCCCGTCCACTGAATCGCTTCGCTCATCCCGCCAGCCCACCTTGCACAACTGCTGCTATATGTTGGTGTGCCCATGGCGGGCGAGAAAGAGGATAGGGGACTAGATTGGGGAGGAGGAGGAGGAGGAGGAGAAGGATGAGGAGGAACTGTTCAACGGCAGCTCCGGCGGACGCAGGAGACCGTTTGTTTCGGCGACGGTTCGGGTTATCCGATGGGGGGGGAGGGTCGAGAGCCTGACCTTGTCGCTTTGGGCAGCCCCACGTATGCCCGCGCGCACCAAGACTGCCTGTGCTGCGCACCCCCTTCGGACCTGCGCAACCGACAAGGTCAGGTTGCTTGGGGGGGCAGGGCGCGTGCTCGATGTCTTCGGCGGCCAAAAGGGTGCAGACGCCGAACGGGCTCAGAAAACAAGGGTGGGGGCCTCTTGCCCAGGCGTCGCAGAAACGTGGTCGTGCCAGCCGCCGTTTCGAAGCCTCTGCTCCGGCTCAGGACCGGCCAGGAACGAGTCAGGATGAGAAGCTGGGGTCGAGAGCCCCACAGTACCATCGCAACAAAGGAGTTGCGGTGTCGAGAGAGGCGAGCTTCAGCCCGCCCAACTAACAGGCGGTTGATACAGGATGCCGTCGGTCATGAAAACACGAAAACCCCTAAAGTAAATCGGTATCTGAGTGTTCAAAACAAACACACTAGAAGCCCGCACCGACGGCCCATCGATTCGGACCGGCAGGAGATCACACATGGAATTCACCAAAATTTCTGCCCTCTCGCAGAAGCCGCGCCCCCATTGTCAAGTGGATTGGCAATGAGTGCAAGATTCGCATGCGGCTGCCTATGCAATGCTTTGGCATGAAATCGCACTTTGTCTGTCGACGGGGCATTGGGAACTTCAAAGACGTCCCTCTCGCCTCGAGTCCATGCTCTTTTCGGCGCCTGGATTCGAAAATGATGTTGGAAGAGATCAATGCCCATACTGGTCCCGTCAAAGTTTTAAAAAGTAGCCGGTGTCATGTTGGCTCATAACGGATCTCTGTGGCAAGCAGCAACGCGCTGAGATTATCACCCGACGTCTTGGAATATGCACAAACACACTCACGTTTAGATGTTTCCACTGGGCATCCAAGCTTAACGCAACGATCACCAAAGCAATGTACATATCCAACAGACGAACATTGTACACGCGAGTGTGCGTGTGTTTTTCTTTCATACGTGCGTCAACGGTTGCGGCGATGCCGTGGACAGCGGCGCCTGGTCAGCGCGGCCGCTGCGCGTCCACCAGGGCACAGCTTCCCAGACGGGCCGCCAAGTTCCTCCGAGGGGACACGCCTCTCTGTCCAGCAAAACGCTCATGGCTACGAGTTTGGAGAAGGTGACTGAGAGAAACAGCGTCTCGATCGGGACGTCCTCACCTGTGAGCCTGGGCGGGCGCCCCGCTGACTAGATTAAGGCGTGCTCCCAAGTTGCCGCGCTCGTTGGCAACCTAACACAAAATACACAAAAGAAAAAAAACGCTGGGCAGCGACCACGGACGACAACGACGAAGAGCGGAGGACATGAGGGAGGAAAAAACTCAACTTTGCCACGCTGCGGCCACGGACGATGCGAGGCGAGGATGCGCAGCACAACCTTCCCTGGCATATTGCCACGCGAATGTGAGACGTTCGGTATGCAGTCTGAAGAGTATCACTTTGATATCGTCGCAGCTTGGTGGAGGTATCAGTGGGATTAGGAACAGGGCAAGGCGGCACCACAGTTGGATTAGAATATATGCTGGTTCATTTTCGGCACAAGTTCGACGGACGTTCTTCGCAGCATCGACGCATCAGTTGAGCGAGTGGCTTCAGGAAGGTCCCCACATCAGGCATCAAAGTGGAAGGGCCAAGCATAGGGTCGTCGGGGACAAGGGCTCTTCGCGCTCACATGGGATCGGGCAGTTCCGGCTTTTCTCGCGCAGCGGGATGCATCCATGCTACGATGTTGCACCGGGTCCACCATTAGATTGCAACACAGCTGACATGAGTCCGTTCTGGAAATGCCTGGACTCTCTGCATCTGCGGGTAGAGGACGAATATGAGGATGGATGACGGGCGAGGGAGGGGGGGAAGGGAGCCTGGCCAGGGTGCATCGACAACCTCGAAGTGCTGGCATCGGCGTCAGCTTCCGAAGAAGCTTCTACAAGCAACACGAAGTCGCGTCCATCCCACTTCCCCGCTAACTCGTGGCGCAGCTGAGACACACCGTCGACCGCCGACTCGCAATCCTGCCATGAATCTAGTATGGCGAACCGGCAACGAGAAGCAACGAACGCGTGCTCGCGAGGCCCACCGGATGCGCACACAGATCTGCCACCGCGCCTTCCGCACGCACTGGAGAGCCCTGGGGCTCGCACACTCGTGGGCACCTCTCAGGACTGCAATGCCGGCCAGGCTCCAGGCAACGAACTTGCCAGAATTTGCGAGGACTCGAAAGGGGGAACAACAAAGTAACGCTTCCAGGTGCCGGGGGCTATCGTTTCCTCCTCCTCCTCCTCCTAGCCTCAAGTGCCAGAATAACGCTTCCAGGTGCCGGGGGATCTCGTTTCGCCGAAGGGGGGGGGTCTTAATTGCTTCCTCGGGTTACCGATACCGATGCTTACTGCTAGACCTGTCTTGGACCTATCCCGAGGAGAATCCAGCCGCGGCGACGAGGGCTCACAGGGTCGAGCAACGGCATCCATGACTTCTCTTCACCGGAGCTCTTGGGCTTCCCGCGCCTGCCGCGTGGGCCGCCTCAGCGGCGGTGGCGGCGCGACGTCCGCCGACCCACGACGTCGCATTTGTCCGCAGCGTTGAGCCCCCGAGGTCCGGACCCATTCTCTCCGTCACTGGCGTTGCATTTGGGGCCCTTTTCTGACGGCCCTGGGGCCCCGCGAGGGAGGGCGCAAATAACCCCCAAACCAACACTCATCACTTTCCCCTATGCGATGGAGTCTGGCTTTTCGGGTCTGTGGCCCCTGGTGGCCGATCGGGACGACTCGGACACGCCCGGCACGCTCTCGGCGAAGCGGAGCTGGCGGAGAGCATCCCGATGCTGGGAAAATGCAGAACGCCGACGAAGACGGCAGAGAGCCGACCGTCGCAGACCTTCCACGACGGGAGACGGTCTGGGCCTGCGGGTCAGGAGTCGACCACCGGACCTCCCTGGAGCGCGCCCTGACTCCCACTTAGGCGCGAATCCAGCCGCGGCGACAAGGAGACCCCCGGAGGCCCAACAAGCCTCGACCCCCGAAGTGCGGAGCCAGAAGCTCGATCTGGGGGAACCAACAAGTACCAATGCCGCTGCTCCCCAGGCCTCTCCTGGGGTGCGTTGTGACCAGCATTTCGGGGCGAATCCAGCGGTGGCGACGAGGGCCACCCAGGAATCCCAACAGGGGGGAAGCGAGACGGCATCGGTACTTCTCGCTCCTCTTACGACCCTCGATCCTGGGTGCCACAAACCCGCCGTCGCGAACGAGAGGGCCTGCGTCGGCGGCGGCCGCAATCGGTGCTGGAGGCATGGCCGGGGGTCTGCACTAGAGAGGGGGCCCGAGGAAATCTGCGAGAAAGGGTCCCGAGAACTGGCGGTCCGCCGAGGAAGACAGCCCCGGGGGCTGGCATGCTGAGATATCGCCACGATTGGACAAACATCGATCCGCCCGAGGTCTGGGAACCGACAATCGACACCGACAGGCCGACAGGCCGACGACGATCGACCGCCCTTGGCGGCGCGCACAAGGAGATAGGGGGAGGGGTGGGTGACGGATTCTTAGCAGGAGGCTGCCTCTTAGAAGGCGTCAGCCCTAACATCAGACAGAAGGCCTGTGCCCTCTACGAAGCAGTATCCTTCCAGAAAGCCTTCCTCTCTCCTCCCGTACCCCCCCTCTGCGCGTGGCCAATAGACATCCCCGAAGAGCCCGAAGCCGCGGAGCCCTCGGGGCTTTTCTTGTGCTCCATGGAAATAAAAAAAAGAATTCTTCTGCGATCCGAGAAAGCGGCAGTTGCCAGGGATGCTCCCCCCTGCCTCCCCACCTGCTAACGCCACGGCTTGCGCCGACGTCGTTTGGGAATTGCTAAGCGGGGGGCTGATTCCCAGACAGCCGTTATCGCCAGCGGGTTAAAGCAACTTGCAAATCCGCTCGAAATCTGTCCCCGGAACCCTCCCGGTGTCCATCTGTCGCAGTTTTTAACCCGAGATCCGTTTTTGACGGCCTGGGGGCCCGATAATGACCCTCAGAGGCCGAAAAAGGCAAAACACTGTATCGGACCCAGAACCTCGAACCTCTGTCCTCCTCCCTGCTCGCCAGAACCATTGTCAGGCCACCTGAGACCCCCAGCCGGCTCCCATCAGAAACTGGTCTTGGTGTGGTCCCCACCCCCTTCGTTCCGTGCCCACTTCGCTCTGCCCGAAAAAACATTAAGAGGGGCCATCGTACCGAGCCCCACTCTGATAAGCAATAAAACATACCCCGAATTAACCCTTTCGGAGGGAACCAATCAGTTAGGAGGTCCACGAACATGAGGAACATCGGGGGTCGGTTCTGCAGATGTATCAGATGTCTTCTGTTCTCGAGGGCGCTTCCCCCGCTCTTGGCATGCTTACGGCATGCTTTTGGCGTGTCGGGGCCGCCTCGTTTGGAGGGGGCTGTGGCGCCGATCCTGCACCCTGAAGGACTCTCACTCACCTGCAACTTGCTTAGTGCAAGCTGGGATCCACTCCTGGGATCCATAACTGCCGCTGTTTGTTTTGGACAGCATTTGCTGTTGGGCATCATCTCTGTGTATTCCGTACCCGTGTCCGTCGCCTGGGCGATGGGCCTCCCAGGCGGCAGATGCATCGCCGATGCATCGGCGACGCGGCTCCCCCGCTCCTCTCTCGTCCGCGGCGAGGGCGAGCGCACAGCGCGCTCGAAGAGCTGGCCCGCGGGCCGCGCCGAGGGGCCCGCGCGCGGGCCTCGCGACCCAGCGCGTCGCCCAGGCCGCGTCGCAGGCGCTCCTCGTCCAGCGCCTCCGGCGGCCGCCGGCGGGGCCAGCGGCTGGAGGCTCTGAACGGGGGGATGCGTCGACCCCTGCCGCAAGTTTCGGGGGGTTTCGCGAGTGCTCTCTTATTTTCTCAAGGGTGGCACAGGATGCTCCGAGAGGGAACAGATGTTCTGGCGATGACCTCGCCCCAGAAACATGTACACGCCCGAGCAATGCCAAGAGGACTTTCGAACATCGACAAAGAGCACGTGTCAGGTGCAAGCCAAACAAAAGCGCAATCTCTGGATGCCCGCACAGGTGCTGCGCGGGACGAAAAAGTGGATATGTCGACACTATCCCAATCTTCGTGGGGCTTTCGAAACAAACATTTGGGGCCTAACCCTGGGACGCACGATGGGGGTGCGTCCATCCTCCACAGGGGTGCGTCCGAATAGCCCCCTTGTGGTGTATCCCAAGGTTCGCCCCTGCTCTGAGCACCTAAACTGTTCCGGCGGAAGTCGGGGATTGTAGGACAAAAAATCGCCTGCGAGCCTGCGAGTTCTGGGTTTGGGAATTTCTTTTGCCTTTGCGGCCTCCGGCGGCCGTTTTCGAGCCCTGGAGCCATGAAACATGGGATCCGTAGTGAAAAACTGTCCCGGATGGACCCCTGGATGGTTCCAGGCACCGACATTGACCGGATTTGGCCTCGCCTCCTCCCCTCCTACTTGGATCGCCGCTGGGTTTGCTAAGGACGAGGGTGGTTATAAAGGGATGCGAATGTTGGTTATACCTAGCCCAATCTGGCTGATAAATCGGCTGTGAATCCCCTGAGTACGGGCTCCGCCCACTTAGCCCAGATGCTTGTCCTCCAGAAGCCGCGCACGGCAACCGAAACCCACTTATGAGCTAGGTGAGGCCAGATGTAATCACCTTGGCATCCACTCATACCTCCCTGGCCCTGTCCACTTAGCGACCTCAGCGGATGTCCAAGTGCGGGGCGGGAGGTCGCCTGGACACCAGCCGCTTAGTTGTCCTGTCCTCTTTGCTTGCTTTCGCACGCGCTCGCTCAAGCCATTGACCCACTCTTAGGTTAGAAGCCTCCCAAATGGGTTCGGAAAATATGGTGTCGGAAGATCGCGCCGTATCTTCGCTGCATCACCGATGCATCGGCGATGCATTGGCAACGATGCATTGGCGATGCATCGGCGATGCATCGGCGACGCTGGCGATGCATCGGCGACGTCAGCGTGGAACAGATCGGGCTCCGCATCGCTCCGCATATGTCTACTCCGACCCCTTCTGGGAGGCCCCAGATGGGTTCGGCTGTGTCGCAGAGCACGCTGCTACCGAAGGGAGGAGTGTGTGTGTGTGCGTGCGTGTGTGTGTGTGTGTTTTGTGTGTGTGTGAGAGTGTGTGTGTGTGTGCGTGCGTGCGTGTGTGTGTGTGTTTTGTGTGTGTGTGTTTTGTGTGTGTGTTTTGTGTGTGTGTGGGTGTGTGTGTGTGCGTGTGCGTGTGCGTGTGCGTGTGCGTGTGTGCGTGTGCGTGTGCGTGTGCGTGTGCGTGTGCGTGTGCGTGTGCGTGTGCGTGTGCGTGTGCGTGTGCGTGTGCGTGTGTGCGTGTGCGTGTGCGTGTGTGCGTGTGCGCGCGCGCGCGCGTGTGTGTGTGTGTGTGTGTGTGTGTGTGTGTGTGTGTGTGTGTGTGTGTGTGTGCGCTGGCCCGCCTGCAATTAGCGCTGGTGCGTCCTGTCAAAGCTTCCATCAGACGTTGGGCGGCGAAGGAATCGTATGTTCTAGCGCTTTCTGGGCCGCGGGAGCCATCTAGGGACTTTCCAGGATCAGGAAGCGGGGAGGGCAATCACACTCGCGGGGGCGAGAAGAGGCCCAGAATGACATCTAGACCTCGCACAAGTCGGGACAGACTGGCACACCTTTTCGGTCCAGCGCGTTTGAAAAGGCGGCGGAAGGGAGGCGGGAAATGCCAAGGTCAAGAATCTTGCCTGAGCAGCCTCCAGGAAGGTACAGAGCACCCCGGGCACCTTGGCGTCGTAGAAGAAAAAACAGCAGTGAAGGTTTCACCATTTTCGGCGTGCGGGGGGCCCTCGACGGGTCCTGGGGCGGAGCAAAAACGGCTCAGGATGAAAAACTCGCCCCATTGGGAACGGGTCGAGACCTCAAAAGGTCCACGTTGCGGGAAAGTCCCGGAACTCTGGGACAAGGGAGCGTTTCCGCGCACCGCACTGCGAAGGTGCAGGAGAGGAGGAAGAGGAAGAGAAGGAACGCAACCTCCCTGGGTCTCCTGAGACGCCGCCGTCGAAGAATAACAACAATATTAAACAACAATGTTCGGAGGTCCGCGGGAGTGCTTGGCTTGGCGCTGGACTCTCTTTGGCGGCGCTTCCGGCGCCGCCCCTGGACCGCATCCGGAGCCATGGAAGGGGGGTCAAACGCCGACCCAAGAAATCCGTGCGGATCTCCGTCTGGTGTGCTATTCTCGGCGTCGTCGCCGTCGTCGAGGCCAGGATCGAGGATAAAGGATGGGTGCCCTCTCGGGCGCCTCTGGGCCTGGAAGGGCATCCCTGTCGCTGTCACCCCGACTAGTTACGTCCGCATCGGAATGACAGACCTCCCCAGAGAAACAGCTTCTGCTCGGCAGTGGGACCGACGGTACTTTGGTTGACCTAAAAGTGGGTCCTGCTGAAAGGAGGTGGTGCAATATAGAGTTGGGGCAATTGTACTACAAATGTACTGCGCCGGAGAAGTGGTCTTGCACGCGGAAATCAAGTAACACATTTGCGCCTCGGAATGTATTGCGCACCCCAGATCTATTGCAGCCCTAGGGAACCATCGTTGGATACCAGCTTTGTTTCGTCGCGGTCGGCAGCGAGATATCGACACGCAAACTCAGTCGCGACCTCTCAGTCTCTCAGGTGCTGCCAGAACTTCTATAGAAGCACCTCTGGCCCAAGCTGCTCCCCAGGATTCCAAGCGAGACCCCCACCAGCGCACCCGCCACGAGGCCGAGAGGGCTCCACGGGCTCGGAATTCAGCAAGACGCCGGGGCCACCTTGGGCAAGGGGCCCTATGGCAGCAACCCCCGAACATCGGTCGCGACCAATCTGGAACCGTATCGGTCGCGACCGATCTTGACACAAAACCGATAGTGAGCGATCTCATCGGTCACGACTCGTGCATCTGGCATGCAGAGATCAGTCGGGGGACCCTTTTTTCCCACTTGGCCCAAACTGCTGGCCACAAACCAAACACGGCAGGACCAGTCCCGCAATGAAGACAACTTCTTGCAAAGTCAATGAAGGGCCGCCACGCACCTAAAGCCGAGATCAAAGAGCACGTGGGGCACAAACAAAATGGCACCAAAGACTTCCCGTGACAATAATGGCCCCAGCATTATGTGTGCTGCACCGCACGGGGCAAACATTTACACTGCTAGCGTACCAATCTGCGCCCGCACAATTGGGGCAAGACGCGCCCGAGCTGACTCGAGATTGGCTACCGCGGCCAAGCTACCGAGGGGAGGGAGCGACAGACGTCGGCGACGAAGGCAGGCGGGGAACGAGGAAAGAGAGAGAGGCAGCAGGCCGGGTGGCGCAGCACCGCACGGGGCTGCTGGGCGTGGAGTCGCCAGGAGGAAAAAGAAAGAGGGGACCCGAATTGGGGGACTCGGGTCGGCCTGACGGGGGACTTGGATTCGGGGGATTCGGGTTGGCCTGACGGGGCCGTCGGGAAAATTACGAGTGACATTTAACACAAACTCCCGATACCAACATCCCACGGAACTGACCCGTCAAAACTCGAACCAGGCAGCAAGCCCGAGTTCTGGCAAGCTCGAGTCTTAGGCACCCGCCTCCGTCGAGTCCCTCATAGGTTGAGCCCCATTCAGCACATCTTGTCCCTCCGCCCCTCCTGCTCACCGCCGCCTCCAGGCCCACCTCTCCTAACAGGGCATATGCCGACCCCTATCCCAGGTTTCGTAGTGTTGTCGAATGCACCAGGAATTTGGGGCACAACCCTAGGATATACGATGGGGGACGTCTATCCTCGACAGGGGTGCGTCCGAATAGCCCCCTTGGGGTGTATCCCAGGGTGTCCTCCTTTTCTGAGTGGCCAAACTTTTCGGGCAGAACTCGGGCACTGGGGGGAAAGAATTGGCTGAGATCTCCCGACCCTCCTCGTCTCCTGCTGCTGCCCATCTCTCCTTCGAGGCCCCCCATGCGGACGGAAGCAGCCAAGACTGGCAGAAAACCTGGCGCAATAGTGATTGTGCCCGTGCCGGTGTGTCGTTGGGGACACACCAAGCCGAGCACAACCATCTTGGCCCCGATTCGCGGTGCCAGCTCACTCTGGCAGCTCGGAACATGATCAGCAACACAGCTGCTCAGACGATGATGAGAAGTGCCCAGTGCGAGTGGGGAAGCTACGGTCAGGAGCTTTTGCGACTGGGCTGCCGCGGCGGCGACCCCGGCGACGCGCTCTGCCTTGCAAGCGCACGACTAGCGTGCCGCTCCGCTCCGCGGGGCGCGGGGCTCGAGGAGGCTCGGGACGCTGGCGCGAGAGGAGGGGGACAGCGTCGCGCCAAAGCGTGGTGGGCCAGCACCGGCAATCTCGGCTCCGCGCCCGCCCGGCCGCCTCCGCCGAGGCCCCCCCCATTGCGCTGACGGCTTCGCCGAAGCGTGGTGGGCCAGCACCGGCGGTCTCGGCTCCGCGCCCGCCCGCCCGCCTCCGCCGAGGCCGCCCCCCCAATGCGATGACGGCTCCGCCGAGGCGGGGCCCCGCGCGGCCTCCACGGCTTCCCGCCGCAGCGCGCCCCCGACCTCCTCCGGCAGCAGCGGCAGTGGCACCGGGATGGCCTCGGGGGCGCGGAGCCGCGCCGTCGCCGGTCGAGGGTCGAAGGGGGTGTCCCAGACGTGCTCGTGTCGTGACAAACAGCAGGACGGGAGGAGTTTCGCCGTTTGCGGCCTCCAGGGGCCATCGCTGGGCGCCGGCCCCGACTCGGGATGGAGCACTTGTGCTGGGGAAGAGGTCGAGACTTCGGGGGACCGCGAATTGAAACAATCAGGACGTCGCATGTCTGGGGTTTGGGTGCTGCGACGCACGGAAGCTTTTGGTCGTCCTCATGTCGCCCAATAGCGGGCTCAAGCGCGAGCAAAGCTGATATGCTGCATCTCCCTCACATGGTGCTGTTGGGCGGTTGTGGTCGCTATTGGGCGCCGTTCGAGGGCTGTTCAGCGCTACTGGGCGCCATTGGGCGCTATTCGCCAATATGCACTCAGTCCAAGACGAGCGAGAGGTTCTGTTCTTCACTCTCTGAGGTGTCTCTCTAAGGTGACCTTCTTTAGGGCTTCCTCGGATGGCGCTTGTGCCACCATGGCACGCCTCGGAGACCTTGTCAGAAAGCGCGACAAGACAATTTTGGGGGTTCGTCGTCGCCGTCGGCTCGTCCAGATGTCCCGTCTGAAAATTCAAATGTTCTACAACGCTCGCGGCCATTCTTGTGGGCCCCCAAACGTCTCTGGAGGTCAATGGGGGCCGCAGTGGGTGGCGTCGCACCGGCATATGGGAAAGTCCTGGAGGAAACAGGGTGCGCCCCCAAGATCTCGAGACCCGCGGCTTGAAGGACCCCGCGGCCGTCAAGGAGCGACACGGGACGGGCAAGCAGACCCGTCCGAGAGCTCGAGGGCCCACGTGCTGAACAACAAGAAAGCCAGGACATCGGATATCTGGGCTCGGGAGGTTTGGAGGATCGAGGCCTCCAGGAGGTCTCTCTGATGCCGCCTTGGGGCCCTCTCGGAGCGCCTTGTTCGCCTTGATGCCTCTCGAACTGCCTCTCGCCGCACGGAGTGAGGAGCGCTATCGTCCTCGGACCACGTGGCCGAAGCCCGATGACTGCGACGGATAGCAAAGGCATGCGCTGACATCGAGCATCCCCAGTAAGTGTACACTCTTACGTGGCCATACATGCACCAATACCATCACTGCATGTGAAGCACCTGCCCGAATACGGTGTGAGTGAGCACTGCTTCGAAACAGGTGTTGGGCTCCCATGTGGCAGCAGGGCGGGATGGGGTGTCTGACACCACCGCCTGACCATCGTCGGCGGTCGGGCCCAGACCTGCTCTCGCCAAGCAGCTCTGGGCCGCAGCGGCGGGGGGCCGGGCGCTCGCGTCGTGGGCTGGACGCCGGCGCGCACACCCTGTACGCTGTTGACCTGCGGCATTCGACATGCGAAAAAGGGGCGCCTCTGGCAAGCCAGTCGGCAGCAAGCAACGGCATGCAACACACACGCGCGCGCCCATTACGCCTCTGCTTCGCAGTGCAAGGGATCTGCACGAGCTTGCAACCCCAGCTCAGGACCTTGCAGACCTTGGACCTAGAAGGGACTCCTAGAGGCAAACACAACGGCTGCCTACATAGCCTCGAGAAGGCTGCCCGCATCTGGCGTTCCGGGAGGAGCAGGGGGAACGAGGAGGATGAAGGAGGAAGGAAGAGGCGAATGACACTGGAAGGAGGGCCACGACAACAACGAAGATACCTCTCCCTGGCGGGCCTCCGCCACCGCCCTCTGGTTGAAAGACATGAGCACGGCGCCTGCCACTACCGCCCCGCTCCCCCTGCAACAGACTTGCCATCGCTCGGACATCCATGCCCCGTGCATTTTTCAGTTTCGTGCGTTTGCTTCTGCGCGAGTTCATCCAGGGCGCTTCTCGATTAGCAGAACAAACAGTGACATAAACAGAAAAACTCTGAGGTCCGCGCGGATTTCTCGGATCGGCGCTGGACACCCCTCCTGGCGCGCGGAGCGCGCCAGGGGCGGCGCCGGAGGCGGGGGGCCCCCGCGCCGATCCGAGAAATCCGCGCGGACCTCCGAGTTTTTATGTTAATGCCACTTTTTGTTCCCCTATGGATGGTGCTCGCCGGGGAAACTTTCGCGCGTTCGAGGGATGCCAGGCAGACGGGCTGGTGCCCGAGGCCGGCGGGCTCTGGGACTCCGGCCGGCCGACGGGAGGGGGCCAGGCCTCCCTCTCTGGCGCCTGGCGCAAAAACTCAACGGCCGCCCCTCCTCGTCCTCCTCCTGCTCCTCCTCCTCCTGCTCCTCCTGCCCTCCTCCTTGTCCTCCTTGTCCTCCTCCTGCTCCTCCTCTGTCGCCCCTCCTCCTTGTCCTCCTCCTGCTCCTCCTCCGCCTCCGTCGAGCCCCTCCTGTAGAGAGCAGAACGTGTACCCTCATAAGAGACCGTCCGACAAGTGAAGCCGTGTAGTAAACGCGCCCAAAGGAAGCGATCGACCAGGGCACGGCTGTTTAGAAAACGCCCAGGGCAGTTTAGCAAACGCCAATTATCGGAGTCGGGATGGTTTCTCCTCATTTGATCCTGCTCTTGTCCCTCCCCCCCTCGTCCTCACCGCCTGCTCATGGCTCCCCTCTTCCGCCCCTCCTCTCGTGTCCTGCTGCTCCACATCTTTCCGCGAGGGTCCCCCGTGGGGACGGAAGTTGCCAAGACTGGCAGAGAACCTGGGGCAATATTGATTGTGCACGTGCCGGTATGTCGTTGAGGACACACCAAGTCGACCACAATCATTTTGGCCCCGATTCGCGTTGCCAGCTCACTCTGGCAACTCCGAACATGATCAGCAACACAACTGCTCAGACGATGATGAGAAGTGCCCTTTGCGAGTGGGAGTGGGGAAGCTACGATCAGGAACTTTTGCGCTTAGCGTGTCGCGGCGGCGGCCCTGGCGACGTGCTCTGCTGTGGAAGCGGATAGCGTGTCGCTCTGCTCCGCGGGGCGGGAGGCTCGAGAAGGCTGGGGACGCTGGCGCTTGAAAGGGGGGACGTGTATGGCGTGTCGTGCCGACGCGTCGTGGGCCAGAACCGGCGGTGTTGGTTTCGCGCCCCACGCTGCACGACTGGCGCCATGGCCCCTCTCCTCCGAGGTGTTTTTCTTTGCCGTCGTGACGTGAGCCACTGGAGATCTCGACCCGTTCCTGAGGCCCAGCGGTGGATTGATCCCGAGCCGGTTGTTGACGGCCGCGCCTGCTCCTGTCGTCTGGCCTCCCCTGCCCCTGTCTGGCCCCTGGTGTGTGTGCGTGTGTGCTCTGGCCTCGCCTGCTCCTGTTGTCTCGTCCGCCGCACGTCCCCGCCTCTCGGCGCTCCGGACGCCCGACTCTTGGTCGTCCTGTCCTCTTCGATTGCTTCCGACAGCGCGCACTCTGGCCGTGGACCCAATGCTGCCACTCTGCCGCAGACCGCGCGCATGCCTGCGCTTTGGTCCGCCTGTGCATCGGCGCCGGTGCGCCCCGCCAGCGCTTCACCAACCCTCCTCCTCCCCTCCACCTCCTCCCTCCTCCTCCTCCTCCACCTCCTCCTCCTCCTCCTCCTCCTCCTCCTCCCCATGTTTTTTTGTTCCATCCTCCTCCTCCTCCTCCTCCTCCTCACAGTCCTCCTCCTCACAGTCCTCCTCCTCCTCCTCCGTCCTCGTCTTAACCCCTCTTAGCAGGGCCTAGCCCAAAGGCACTTCGCAGAAAAGCGCGGGCGTGCTCTGGCGCTCGCTGGGCCGGCAGAAGCATCCGGGGATCAGGCGAAGGGACGGCAAAAAGCCTTGCCAGCTGAGCGACGTAAACAAACGCGTCGCACGTGAGATGCCATAGCGACCTTACGCGGTGCCACGTTGGAGACAAGGGCGCTTACGCGCGACCTTACGCGGAGAGCTTACGCGCCAACGTCGGCGCAGACGACCCCCTGTTCTTGCGTCGCTGAGGTGGAGATGGAGCCCTCTGGCCTCCTCCGCTTCCTGCGGCTTGTGGGCCCTCTGGCTCCCTTCTCCTGTGACGCCCAGGACCTATGCACATGCCTCGGGTGCGCGCTAGACAACAATAGAGGTGTGGAGAGGGTGGTGGATTTAAATTTGGGTCTGACTTCCAGGGAGTCCCCCCGAATGCTGACGTATATTCCCAACCAGCCCACGTCTTGTTTGTCCAGCCTGTCAACATCAACTTTGCAATAGGCAGCTCGAGTGCGGAGCTCACGGACAAAACGACCCACTGTGACGCCGCAGTTTTCAAGTGGCGTGGGCCTCGGAGGCGTGTCCCCTCCCACGGGGCTAGCGCTTCATCCCGACGCGCTCTTTGACGGCCCTGCTGGGGCTGGCAAGCCGCCCACGCACGGAGGCCGGACAGAACAAAAAACGTAACGGTTCTGTGTGTCTGGGGACTAAGCATGACTGTTCAGGGACGGACCTCTACCTACCATGTTGCTGGGAATCCAGCCGTAGCGACGAGGGGCATCGCGGAAGCCTGAGAAGGTAAGCCTTCCCGAACCTTGGGGGTGGCGGGGGGATCCCGAGAAAATCCATCAACAAGAGGAATAAAGGGCAAATCCGCTCAACATCGGTCCTCGGATCAGTCCCTGGGTCCACCTGGTGCAATTTGTCATCTGGGATCCGTTTCTGACGGTCCCAGGGACCAGAGACGGCCCCCGGGGACCGGGAATAGCATCACTCTGTCGAATCCAGAACATCGAACCTCGCCCGGCCTTCTTGCTCGCCAGCACCAGTGCCTGGCCACCCCAGACTCCCAGCCAGCTCCAACCCGAACCTCCAACCGCGAGGGCCTGATGGTCTCCTCAGCAGCAGCCTCGGTGCCCTCGAGCTCACTGCGCCCCTCAGGTGGGTCTCCTGAAAAGACGCCAGCGAGAGGGACTTCTGAATCCGCGGCGACGCATCTGAGATTTCGAGGTCTGGGTGAGGGCGTCATGCGACGGAATTGCGCGCGCGAAGCCGAACGGACTTGAGACATCGGCATCGCCGTGCTCAAGCCCCTTTCTCTGAGGCCCGTGTGGAACCACCTGACCCCCCACCCGCGGCGCCCGTCCCCTCCGGCACGCGGGGCCCGCATCGATACCAGCAGGGTGACCAGAGCGCCTGGGGCGGGGAGGGCGAGGACGAAGATGAGAGCTGCCTCCGCGCTCTCTCCTTCTCCCTCCTCCGGATTGGCACTTCGGTGCGGCAGCGTAGGTCGTAGGGTTTGAAGGGTGAGAGGTCAGAGAAGGAGGGAGGGGCACACTCGAGCCTGTTTGGCTCGGCGGTGCGCCAAGAGGAAGTAGCTACCCAGCGCTGGAGCTGATCAAGAGGTTCTGGCGTTGGAGCAACACCTCCTTCTACAGGTATTCATGGGAGGCGATCGGGGGCACGAAGGGCGTGGCCGCTGGCATGGCAGGAGGTACGACCTCGCTGCAAGTCGGCTACCGCCTGACGAGAGCGGACCGGCCCAGGGCGCAAGACGTCGAGGCAAGCCGCACCAGGGGAGGACAGGAGGAACACCTCGGGGCAGGCCCGAGGGGGGGGGGAAGCAGGACGGCCACTGCTGGCGCCCGCCAGGGGGGGTGAGGCCTGAGGCCACAAGGGCCCAGACGCCGGCGCCGAGATGGCGCACACCGCCGCCGCTGTCATGAGCAAAATCTGCGCCTTCTCTCTCTCGTTCCTTGGGTTCCCGCGGGTCCGTTTGCTCCCCGCGGACGTCGAGGGGCCCAGCAGGGCCGACTCGACATGTTTGGGTGTTTTCTGCGAGCTGTGCCGCTCAAGCTCTGAGTCTGTCGCCGCGCCTCGTGCTCCGAACGCGTCCCCGCAGGCAAAAACCAGCACCGCGGCGAACCCGTGGGACACTCTGCGTCCGAGGGGGGAGGGGGCCCTGGTGGCCGAGGCCATCTCCCCACGACGTAAGATTGCGCGTCGGAACAAACGGCGCGGCGACAGATTTGGATGGGGATGGCGAGCAGGAGAACGATGGAAGGAGGAATGAAAATTAGCTCCTCCCCTCCCTTTCCCCCCCCCCCCCTCTTCACGGCCACTTCCACTCCCCCTCCTCCGAACCCCTCCTCGGCGAATGAAGGAGAGGACAGAGGCGGGCCAGTGGGCAGCAGCGTAGGGGGCGAGGTCAGTGCGTCCTGTCGCCAGCTCCAAGCGGCGACCTCCAGGAGCTAGGGGGGGAACACTTGCTGAAGCCTGCTTGGAGGTCGCGGGGCAAGGCGAGTGCCGCTGGAGGAGGAGGAGGAGGAGGAGGAGGAGGAGGAGGAGGAGGGAAGAGGGAGAGCTCTCGACAACTGCGTCTATGGGTGCTGCCCGCTCTTCGGATATGGCGTGGGAGCGGACCTGCAGGCACGGCGGAAGCCTCATGACGAAAACAAAGCAAAGAGAGAGAGAGAGAGAGAGCACGCTCCCCGCCCGACGACGACGACGACGTTGACGGCGAGATCGTCGACGACGGCAACGATGACGACGATCCACCCGCCACTCAGTGTTCATGATATGATGCAGCTCGCCTCTTCATGGCAACCGCACGAGCCCGAGCTCCCAAGAGGCTCTGGAGCTGCTCTCCCCCCATCTCTGGTTGAGCCCGAGAGAGCTGCACGAAGAGCAGAAGAGGTCAAGCGCGAGCAAGGCAGACTTTTAAGGCGACGGCAGGCAAGTGAGGGCGTGTGACAAATCAGCAATCTAAACACCTTCAGGTGGCCACTCTCAATCATTGGCAGGAAGAAAACAGCGGGAAGACGCGAAAAAGTGGCAGGCCATGACAGATCCGCCACCGTGCCTGCAAGGAGTGGGCGTGTTAGCATGTTCGTCTGCTGCCTGGGAAAACTTACACTATTGCATAATCGCCCCACCCCTTGCCGGTAGGCAACCCGCAAAGAAACGCCCGCTTCGGAAACTCCTTTATGGCGGTCTTTTCGGACTCCCGACGGCCAAGATGGCCTCCAAGACGGCTTCCAGGACAGCCAAGACGACAACAAAACGGCTCAAGATGGCTCAAGATAGCCCAAGAGGGCGTTAAGACAGCCCACGAGGCCCTCAAAACGACCAGAGGAGCTCTAAGAGGCCTTCCTTCAGAGCCCGAGGGGGGCAAAACCGTTGTTGTGCCTCAAGTTGCTAAAGGATTTAAGGTTCTCGCTTGTTCGGGCATCCGACCACCCAAGATGGCCCAAGAGGCTTCCAAGAGGCCTCCACGATATCTCCAAGACAGCCCAAGAGGCCCCCAAGAAGGCCCCCAATCGGTCCAAGAGGACCCAAAGATCGCCCGCGGGCTCCCAAAGAGGGCCCCAAGCCGGCCTTGAAACGCTCCAAGATCCAACAAGACGGCCCACAGCCTCTTGGCCTATCTTGAGGCCTCTTGGCCTATCTTGAGGCCTCTTGGTCTGTCTTGGCCAGTCGGAAGCCCAAACATGTCAGAACCTCAACACCCTTCAAAATAATGAAGGACAATCCATGGTTGTGGCCTCCTCGGGCTCTTCTAGATGGCCTCTTGGAGACCTCTTGGGCCATCTTGGGGGCCTCGTGATATGCCTTGAAGCCTTATTTGAAGCCTCATGGCCTCCAGGACGGCCTTCAAGGCAGCCGAGATGACGCCACGATGGCCCGAGGTGTCCAAAGACGGCTCCAGAGGCTCCCAAGACAACCTCAAGACAGATCAATAAGCCCCCAAGACAGCCCAAGAGGTCTCCAAGATGCCCTCCTTGAAAGCCCAGGGAGGCAGTGTCCCTGTGTTTGAGGGGATGTGATGTTCTCATGTTATCATCTGCTCGGTTTTTTTTTCCGACCGCCCAATACGGCCCAAGAAGCCTCCAAGAGGAAGCCAAGATGCCTCCAAAACAGCCCAATAGGCCCCCACATCGCCCGAAGAAAACCCAAAGATCGCCCAAATGGCCCAAGAAGACCCCAAGACGGCCCTGAACCACTCGAGAAGGGCACCAGCGCGGCCCAGAGAGTCCACCGAGGCGGCCCCCATGGGCCTCCGACGGGCCCCCGAGAGGCGGCCGCCTCTCCTCCTCCGCTTCCTCCCTGCCGCGCGGAAGACGAAGAGGTCGGGATCACGGCCCGCCCCAGCGCAGACTAACCCAGGGAACCGAACTCTATGCACCGACGCCCTTGTCTGGCCTCACACTGGAGCTCGCACTGGAGAGCGTATCCTGGTGTATACGGGATCCTGGTGTATACATGTTTCGCTGTTTCCCTGGGGAGACGGGGAGAAAGTATGCACCACACCACCCCGACGTCGTCCCCGACGACGTCGTCCTGGGACTGAAAAACCAGCCGCCACTGGTAGTGTATATGCTCCAGCTGGTGACCCTGGTTACACCGAACAGAAGTACATCATCCTTTACATCTAGACTGGACGCCCGAATTACCCGGGGTAACTCGGGTTTGGGCCCCCAAGGCGCGAACCCGTAGCTACCCCTGACCGCCCCCAGTCCTAATGATTCGGGAGGGCTGGACGCCCAATTTATCCGAGATAACTGCGGTCTGGGGGCTAACTCTGGCTTGGGCCTCCAAGGCGCGAATCTGCAGCTACCCCTGAACATCCCAAGCCATGATGATTCGGAGCTCTGGAAAGAGCGGTGGTAGGCAACACAGAAAGGAACGGTAACAGAAGCAATACCCACATAACGGCGACAATGGCGGCGATGCCGATGACGACAGTAAAAGGGGCAACGACGGCAGCTCGCGCAGGCTGGGGGTGCCAAGGGAGTGGCCGACCCCGATCACGGGCAGCTCCGAGATCTTCCCGGGGCCTCCCCTGCAACCAGCTGCTCCTCTCTTCGCTTCTCTTCTCTTCCAGACTCTTCTCTTCTCTATTCTTCTCTTCTCTCCTCTAAGGCCGAAGTAGGACGTCGGGGCCAGCATCTCGGTCAGAGGCGGGCGGCGGCGGTCGTTCTCCTTCTCCGACGACGGCAACGACACCAGCGACGGCGACGGCGGCTACCAACGTCACCCCTGTCGCGCGGCCCGGCCCCAAGTCAGGCGGTTCCTGTGCTGTCCTGCTCTTGTCTGCAGAGCGCGTGCGGGGGCCACTCCTCCAGAGCCCCTGCCTGCTCTACCGAATGTGCGAGGCCAGGGTTTCTGCATATCGACCACCTGAGAAACCAACGTCGCACGACCCCAGGGGGGCAATGGACATGGATAGCTGTGGGCCCCCGCGGGGTCCAATCATATCAATATCCACTGCCTCCATGGGGTGGACATCCATGTCCATGTTCATAACCCCAGCGGGTGGATCCGCTGGCCCCTTGGGGGCGCAAGTTTGTGAAGTGCTGCCTTGGGTTATTCGTGTTGTCTACGACATGCCTTCATATCCTACGTGTGCGGTGGTTCTTCCTCAAATCCTAAGTATGCAATGTTTGTGAATTGGACGTCTCCGCCTCACCTTCGTCTTCCTCCTCCCTGATTGAAGCACTTGTACTCAAAGCCCCGGACGCTCAGATTCACCCACGCTCGATCACAATCAGGCTCACTCCTACGCGCATTCGCGAATGCCAAAGCTCTCACACACGCACTCGCTCAGACTCAGAGTCATTCAACTCACACTCAGACTCAAAGACACTCATACCCACTCGTGCTCAGACCCTCTCGCACTCAACACACTCACACTTAGACAACTTAAACCCCGGACTCGATTATACTTAGACGCGGCCAGCCGTTCTCAGACACTACGGCGGCCAGCCGTAGGGTCTGAGTAGGAGCAAGGCCTGGGAGAGCGAGTCGGGACCTTCGGTGATTGCTTCCCGAACTGGAAACAACATACGCAAGAATACACACAAACTGCCTACTATGACAAAGACGGTGTCAGGCCCATCTAGGAGACGGACTCACTTGACAAACCAAGCGGGAATATGACCCACGAGCCCAGAGTCGGTCGGGTGCGCTGACGAGTGGGTCCAGAAGGAAGGGGGTGGGCGCATGCTGGTTCGAGGCATGTGCGCGGGGGGGGGGGCGGGGGCAGAGGA